TCAGATTGAATGACGCCATTGTTGTACGGAATAGATCCTTGAGAATTTTTGAAGAAACTTTGAGAATTTGACAACAAACTGTATGATTCAAATCACAATCACTCTTAGAACACTCGATTCAATGAATTAAGTGCAGAATCGAATCACAGACTTAGATCTAAACAATTTTTCACTTTCAAAAAGTGCAGAAACTTTTGAATCAAAAAGTTGACTCAAAAACCTTTTGAACAAAGTGAAAATCAGATCAGAGATATGATTCCTGCTCTGATACCAATTGATGAGACAATGAATCAAGTATTGAACGAATTAGAGTGTAAATTCAAAGTAGAATTGAAAGATTTGAACACCGATGTAAATATGATCTGTTTGGCTCTATTACGCTTTTGCAAATTTTACAGAGTACAATGAATATTCTGTAAAGACTTCGTTACTAAGACACTAGTAACCACTCCTATTTATAGAAGAGAAAAGCGTACAAAAAATATAGTAAGGACTAAACATGAAGCTTCGAATATTATGCCCTAGTAAAATACATTACAAAAATGTTCGAAGACCCTAAATACAAACTTCGACTATTACAACATTTCGACCCTAACATAATCATACTATCATAATCATGCTGTCATAATCATACTATCATAATCATACTATCAAGCATTCCTGGGGTACCGACCTACCCTTCATTCCTAACGACCGAGGCGGGGGACTATTCCCTCCTACTATCGCTATCACATACAACATATCATACTGGCACATAAAGCACATCTAGCAATAACTACCTAGATAATTATCACATAGACAATCATCTAACGACAATCCCTGCTGGTGGGCCGGCATTGTGGCCGTAGACCCACCTCTACTGGAAGGTAACTCGCCTCGAAAACCGTGTGCTGAATCTCGCGGAAAGTAGTCTCTAACAGCTGCTCTAATGACTCCCGGCTAACATAAACATATTAACACCCGATCAGAGTCTATAAGACAACTTAGGGTAAAATGACCATTTTACCCCTTGGTTCAATTGGGACATTCAGGAGTCCTAATTCCAATCTATTAAGCCCAACCCTCCATTGGCTTATTAAAGACTCCTTAAGGCCCACTAATTGCCCAATTAATGAATTGGGCCCCATCCCCCTAATTGGGCCCAAAAGTTCCAAGTCCAAAGGTAACAACTCCAAGGGTCCAATCTTGGCTCAATAGGCCCAATGCTCTAGTTCCAAATTTCTAAGTCCAAACTTGCACTTCTCAGTGGGCCACAGGGCCCCAAGCCCAGGCCCATATCCTTAAGGCCCAAAAGCCCATGGTTTCTATTCTGCACACGTACGCGCGGCGTACCTGGAAAGTACGCCCATCGTACTCTTGGCCGCAAACGGAGGTTGCCCGTAAACGGTAACTGACCGTGAATGGAAACAGACCGTGAACCACCCCAATACGCACAGCGTACCAGGGTTTACGCTTAACTTACTACCCAGTTTCCTTACGACTTCACTTCTGACTTAATCCATTAAGTCTTTACGTCCAAAATGTAGATCCAGGTCCTTTAAGGCCTACCAAGACATAAAGTTACAAACTTTAGGTGCTTGCATGGATGGTTGGGGTCAAAACATGATTTTGGTCCATTATACAAACTTTAAGACCATCTAACCCTCGCATGGTTTTGGCTTAACCACCAAGATCCAATTTTTATGACCCTAAGTGCTTCTAAGAGTCCAAAAGGACAGCTCTTATGCTCTGGAACCAACAATACTCAAACACTCCCAACAATGGGGTCAAAAAGGACATAAAACCCCCAAATAAACAAATCTAAGCATACAATGGTCAAGTATGGAGCTTGATACCTCAAAAGAGTCAGAAATGGTGTCAATCCTTTGGATCTACAAGCTCTTGTGGATCCTTGCTTCTTCTTGAAGCTCCTTTCTTCTTTTCTCACTAAAACAACACACAAACACTCTCAAATGGCTTCTAGAACACAAAGGCACACAAAGGGAGCTAGGGTTTTCGTGGTGGCTGGGTAAGAGTGAAGGGAGGCTGAATTAACAAGGGTTATGTTCTTTATATAGGGAGCAAACTCTAATTTTAGGGTTTAAGAATATGCACATGTACGCTGGGCGTACGTGCATGGCTTCCGCGTTTCCTTTTCCTGAGTACGCTGAGCGTACATAGCAATGTACGTCTCGCGTACGAGGTTCCTCAACCCACTCTTAAGGGCCCAAAGTCAAAGTCCAACCAAACAACCCATAAATTTATTAAGGTAAATACTCATAATACCTGGAAAAATCCCGGATGTTACAGTACTCCATGGTATGCTAAGCGTACTCAAGGAGAAAAAATGCAAATTTTGTTAAAATCAATTCTAAAGCTAAAGAGTACCTAAAACTCGATCGTTACAGCGGGGTTGGGCCCATGTAACAGAAAGGGCTAGGCCTAATGTATGTTATGTAGAATTCTAGCTGTTGTGACTCTTACATTGTATGTTGGGCTAGGTCTATTGGTTAGGAAGGGCTAGGCCCATTATTTTGGGTTGGGCCCAATGTGAGGGTTAGGCCCAAGGATATGTATGGTATGTGGTATTTTGAGGAGCTCACTAAGTCTTTTGCTTACGGTTTATGTTTATGGTTTCAGGTACTTCTTGTTCGAAAAGGGGAGGGCCCGGCGTGACTGCACAACATCCCCATAGTTTATTACACATTGATAATTTTTACTCTAATGTTTAAATGCTATTTTTATCTTGAATGGTTTTGATAACAATTTGTTATATAAATTATTGATTTAAAAATGAAAATTTTACATCATAATTTTTGGACGTTACAATTACATGGAATTTAAACATTCCACCATTCGCAGAGCCCTTGCTTACAAACATACACCTTTTAGTTAATACAAACCTATCAGACTCAAAAACCAAGAAAAATCCATGCTTGTTCAACAACATCCCAGATACTAAATTGTTCATAATCTCTAGAACATAGAACACATCATTCAATGCAAACTCTTTTTCTGACGCCATCATCAACATTATCTTTCCAACATCTTGGATACTTGAGGTAGCCGAGTTGCCCATAAAGAGTTTGTTTCCATTGTTCACACCTTTAAAGTTCTTGAACCATTCCTTATTTGAGCACACATGAAGCGTAACACTCGTATCAATCCATCATTCATTAAAGTTAACATCCATAGATTTCACTTTGAAAATCATAGCCACATTGTATGGTGTCATTTCTGAAATTGTTTACACACCAAATGTAAGTGTTTAAAACTACAATCACTAGAAAACATTTATGTCTCTTGCTTGGACAAAATTCAACGGATTATAAAATAATCAAAACTATTATAAAAACTATAACCTGTTTCAGACATATATTTTAGTAATTTTGAAAATTTGAAATCATAAAATTGTGTCTGAAGCTCTAAAGATTGAAAACAAAAATTCTAAACATCAGATTATCTGTTTTTAAAAACTTTCCTAGAATCTGATGTACAAATTCTCATGCAAATATACTGAAACTTGATTTTTGATGCAGAAAACAAATGCAAAAAAAAAAAAATCTGAAATATAAATTGTATTTAAAACTGAAGCAGAAATTAATTTTAGAAATCTGATGAGCAATTTTGATGTAGAAACTGATACAAAGATTATGATACCAAACCGATACAACATTAATACATAACTCTGATGCAAATCTTAAACTTTGTTTCTGATAACCGATGCTTGTAATTTTCTAGAAAGAAAATTGATGCCAAATTCCAAAATCAGAATTTTTGATAAAAAAAACTAATAATGAAATTAAAAATTCCGATGAATAAAACGAATACATTGCATAATACAAAGCCTAATTTAAATATGATGTATTTTCTAGATGCAATAGTTGAAGCTGAAAATCTGAATCAGAAAACTGATTTTGATTCAACAGAAAATTCTGTTGAACAAAAATCTTGATGGTGAAAATCTGATTCTAAAAAAAATTGTAAAAAAATAATTTTGTAAATTAAACTAAACTTGGAACGAATTCATAATAAAATAAATTCGTAACAAAATTTAATATCTTGACCAAAAGTATAAAATTATAGAAAGATGATATGTTCAACTTGAAATATCAAGTAAAATATATGAGTTGATTTTATTTTTAAAATGTAAAATATGTTTGTTGACAAATTAAAATTATTTTAAAAGATTTAGTTTTTAAATTCAATGATAACCTAAATAGACGATGAGGTAACCAGGTAAGTAGGAGTGTTCGTTTGGATGGATCGGTTTAATCCAATCAGATCAAGTGAATCCAAATTAATTTCGGTTTTCAAAACGTAGATCCAAATAGTCCAAACTAAAATCAAATCCGATCCGATCCAACCAAATTATAATTCGGTTGGATCGGTTTTTTACAATTCGGTTTCCAAGAATCAAGACATTTCAACAAATATATAACTTTAGTATTTAACTTACTCTATAATATAAACAAAAAAGTATTGGTTAATTAGTTGTGAATTAAAACTTATAAATAACTATCAAGAAAAATAAATTATAGTTTACTACTTTATAGACAAAATTTGTTATAAAAAATAAATACTAAAGTATTATAATATATGAAAATTTTAATATACTGAACGAATAATTTAGTAAATTTATAAATTATTAAAGATATATATTAGAAATAACAAAATAATAAATTTCAATTCGGTTTTTTTGGACTATTCGGTTTTTATTTTATAGACCAAAACCAATCCAAAATAATAATTTGGTTTTGCTAAAAACCAATCCAAAAAATCCGATTATCCGAACCAAATAGTCCGATCCAAATTGTCTAATTGGACAATTCGGTTTTATGCAAATAGTGAACAGCCCCGCAGGTAAGTAACTAATTTTTTTTTTTTATAAATCAAACTTATACAATATCTAAAGAAAGCATGTAATATTTGGGCTTAATGGGCTCATTTATTACAATACCTAGAGAAATCTGATGATATTGATTATTCATAATTTTACAAACGCATTAATGCAACGTATATTTAGTTTTGGGCTCAAAATATAATTTTGCCATGGGAAACTAGGGAGAGCAAGTCGTCTTCAACCTCTCGATTTAGGGTTTATGTACAGAAAATTTGGGGAAGAGCTCGTGAAAAATAATGGAACCTGAAACGAAGAAGAGGAAGCTTTTCCGTCCACCTCCTCGCCGGTTAGTAATCCCCGTCACTGTCAAAGCTCTATCTTTTGTCTTTTCTATATAGCTGTTAAACCGTGCTTTGTTGATTACATTACTATTTTCTTTCCTGACAATTTGAATTAATGGGATCAATATTTTATCATGACGAATCAACATACACTTGAAATACATCAAAGCTTGATAATCAATACGGAATTACAATTCCCAATTACGTGATAGCTATTTGTTTAATTTGGGTATTCGATTTATATCCTCGAGAAGTAATCACTTAAAAGTTATTTTCCTCTCTTTCAATTCAAATATGTCAAGCAATTACAAAGTGCATATGATTGATTGTGTTTCACTTCTTGATTTAAACAATACATGTTTTGATGGTGATACTGCAAATGTTTGAAAGTCTAGGGCAACACTTTCACCAGCTGGAAAGAAAGATCTTGCAGTTTCAACTTCAACAATAAAGCCAATGGTATGCATGTTCTTTTCAGGTGTTTAATTGACACTATTATAGAATGTTAAAGAATTCTTTTTATGAATTGAGAAGATGTAATGATAGGCTAATGTGGCTCAAACTGGAGTAGTCATTGATCTGAGGATTCAACAGGCTAAGAATCATGCAATTGCACAGGCTCAACAAGATGGGTCTAAAGCTAATTTCAAAATATTTGATTCTCCATTTGGGAACTTTCTAGTGCCTGTTGTTCCAACTCGTGCAGAACTTGGTGGATGATTGATCAGGTATGTTTCTCTTACATACTTGCTAATTGAGTAGCTGCAAATGTGATATTTGTTGTTGTTTGTAGCTTCTAATTTGCTTTTTGTTTATTTGTTTTGAGTTTTTGATGGGCATGGCACTCTTGAAATTTGTATTGCCAAAATATCTAACAAAAAATATACAAATATATCTCGATAATTTAATAAAAAAACTCGAAATTTTAAAAATAAACTAGAAAATTTATAAAAGTTTACCTTTAGCTATCCGAGATACAATTAGGAACCACAAAATATTTTGTTTCCACCACTTAAAAATATCAAAGCTGGCAGTTTAAGCAAGTTTCGGCTCATCTTAGTACCTTTTTAATTTTATTTCTATTGCTACCGAGTTGTTTTCCTCAACATCTAGAAACTCACCCCAAAATATTATAAACATGCCGCATGCTCCTTTGTTTGCAAATTCCGAAGTGAAATAGAGTGAAGTGAAGCAAAACACAAAGGAAGCACTCTCCCAATTTCTTTTTGCAAATTACCGTTATCACGTCACGAGAAACATCATTACAAGCTTCTTGAGATGAAGAATTCAACTCTAACTTATCAAATATTTATTTGTACATTATAAACAAAGTTTCCAATTTGTTTTTAATATTTCGAACCAAATCCGCAACCTTGATGTTCTTAACTTGTTTTGAAATGAGATTTTCTTATGTTATTTTGTACATAATCATCTACCTAAATGCATGCTCAATAAATGTTCGTTTCATTGTCGAATCCAACTTAATTTCAAAATAAATGTAGTCATTAAGCTTGTCAAATTTCCCTTAATATTTGTCTTATTTTAGTCACCTCGAATTACACATCAAACAAAAATCCGTTTCGTTTTCCACACCTATAGATGTTTGCTTACATCTAAAATTTCCCTAAAAAGATGTGCCAATAGTATTAAACTTCCCGATACAGGCTTCGTTTTATTCTCTATTTTTTTTTCAAGAAAAGCGACCACTAGTTGACAAATATCAAAAATCCGATTGTGCGAGGACTTCTACATCACGAAAATAAGAAATATCCTCAAAATCATATTTAACAAAAACTTCTCTTAACTCCACGACAATTTTCAACATGTCGTGAGTTGAGTTCCACCTTGTTGGACAATCAACACACAAACTTTTTCGATTCCACATTACAATCGTCCATGTATATTTTAGATTTTGTGCTTCTTTATGTAGATTGTCTAATATATCTAACCGTTTTTTGCACACACTTTATAGGCTAATTATTCTCTTTTAACCTATCTTTCACAATAAGATTTAAAATATGGGTCATGCACCTAACTTGAAAGTGTTTGCAACCCTCATACAAATTTGGCAATTTTTAACTAAACCTCAAGTGCTTTATCATTAGAAGATACATTGTCTACCTATCATAGTCATAACAATTTTATACCCCAAGCGTGTATGCTTTTTAATAAATAACTCCCCATATTATCCATATATGGATATCAATGGGTCTAAACTAATAATATGTTTGTGCATCACCCTTTCATCATCTATAAAGTGTGTCGTAACAATGTTGTAGTTAAACCTTTGGATATCAAAAATCCAATTGTGCGAGGACTCCATCCATCATCTTTCTTACAAAGATCTTCCGCATCTTCATTGAAGAACTAAAAATTGTCGTTGCATCGACTTGATTACGCGACAAATAGATGAAAGTATCTGCAAATTCATTATCATCTAAACCCATCATCTCTAATTCTTTCTAGATTTCCTCAAAAGCTTCGCGGGGGACGCGACATCCAATTGTAGCTTAATCTTAGTATTTTGGAGTACACTTGAGGTCACTCCCCTATTTCCAAAGGAAGAAAGAAAAGGATCGGGGAGCTCCGGCAGGGGAACTTGAGTCTCAGCAGAACCTTCCATTTTTTTTATCTCTCCTTTCCTGCGGATTTGATCCATTTTGCTCAGTTGGGGAGCGTAGCCTGTCGTATCCTTTCCAACCCAAGACGACAAGGATTTGCTCGGAGCTGTTCACTTTCACTCGACTGGTATCTTGAAACCTTTTCGTTTGCGGGGGCAGGAGTGGAAACGTCTGAGAGAGCACTTCGCGAAAAACAATCGATATACTACTTCATCTTCATCTTGAAGTTCTCTTTATAGTTTCTGCTGTTACTTTTGAGCTTCTTGGCTTTTGAACTCTCCTCGGGTGAAACGTGCTTTGCTGACACTTTTTGAATATCCTCATCGTCATCTTTGTATTCGTTATCCAAAATTACCTCATTATTTGTCATTAGTTCAACATCGGTAACTTTTTCTATTTTAATTTCTGCGGATTTGCTTAATCGGTTGTTTTTCTATCATCTAAAAATAACATATGCGAGTGATCTTAATTTGAAATTTTTTTGGCTTTGAATGCAGTTGCTTCAGGGTTTGCCTGTTTATAAACAAACCCAAAAATAATTAGTAAAGTTAATGGTAAAAAATATATAAAACAATAAATCAAAAGTAAAACCAAAATGTACACTAGTTAATTGTGCTCATACTTTCTCCTCTATCATGCCATTTACCAAAATTACCTTTTAAAGTTTTTAATTCGGTTTTTTATATGATCTTTGGTAAAAGACCTATTAAACTCTTTACTCATCACTGCAATCATGTTCGCATAAGCTTGCGAAGTGAATGTACCATTCACTCGATTACCTATTTCATGTTCGTGCACCAGTGCTTCAACGAGAGCATTATCCATCTTATTTGTCCACGTTAAAATTTCTTTCTTCACAACACTTCCATTGGTTGCCCTTTTGGTTAAATGTTTATGGCTCGTTTTGCTATGTTTGTATGTATAGAGCGATCATGACCAAAAGGGAAGCCAATTGAAATGTTGTGAAGAAAGAAAAATTGACGTGGATAGATAAGATGGATAGTGTTCTCGTTGAAGCACTGGTAAACGAACATGAAATAGGTAATCGGGTGAATGGTACATTCACTTCGCAAACTTATGCGAACATGATTGCAGTGATTTGTAAAGAGTTTAACAGGTCTTTTACAAAAGATCATTTAAAAAACTGAATGAAAAACTTTAAAAGGTAATTTTGGTAAATGACATGATATGTTTCGGGGTACTTCATTGAGTGGGTTCTCCTGGAATTCTCAAACAAAATATATTGAAGTAGAGGAGGAAGTATGGGCACAATCAATTAGTGTACGTGTTGGTTTTACGTTTTATTTATTGTTTTATATATTTTTTACCATTGACTTTTACTAATTGTTTTTGGGTTTGTTTGTAAACAAGCAAACCTTAACGCAGCTGTATTCAAGTCCAAAAAAAATTCAAACGACGATCACTTGGATATGTTATTCTCAGATGATAGAGCATCGGGATCAAAAGCGGAAACAACAAAAGAGAAAAACTACTGGTTAAGCAAATCCGCAGAAATTAAAATAGAAAAAGTTGCTGATGTTAAATAATGAGGTGATTCTGGATAACGAATACAAAGCTGATGATGAGGATATTCAAATAGTGTTAGCAACGCATGTTTCACCCGACGAGAGTTCAAAAGCCAAAAAGCTCAAAAAAAAAGTAAAAGAAGAAAACTGCAAGACGAAGATGAAGTAGTAGCTGAACCTGTACTTGAACCTCAACCAGAATCTTTTGAACACAGTATTTTTGAACACAGTATTGTACATACTTTTAAAGAAATCGTTGATGTTATGAGGGAAGGGAACAAATCTCGTGACTATATATGTGAGGAAATCGAGAAAGAATTAGAGCCGATGGGTTTGGATGATAATGAATTTGCAGATGCCTTCATTTAATTTTCGCGTAATCAAGCCGACACAAGGACAATTTTTAGTTCTTCAATGATGATGCGGAAGATCTTTCTAACAAAGATGATGGATGGAGGTAAAAAGTGAGTCATATCTTCAAATTTTATGTTTTTTTTACTTTTATGGTACTTTGCTTTGGACTTCATTTGTAAAAGTTGGAATTTTGATTATTTAGTTTTTCTTTGTTGACTTGAGTTTGATTCATTAGTTGATTGTTTGATTAAAAGATTTTGATTCCCACTGTAGTTGATTTTATAAAATCGTTCTATTTGCTGTTGGTCAAGAATTCAACAAGCTTCTCTAGAAACCTCCCATTTCGACTTAACAAATCAACAACACAAACGTAATACTCAAGTATATAATTTAAAGAGGCAAAGTTCATATTGTTTACCTGTTTCTAAACATGATGTGTAAATAGGGGTATAATTGTAATCTTTTAGTTTTCTTTTCTTTTCCCTCCTATCTCCGGAACACAGAATAAGGAAATTTTTCCTTCCCCTCCTTTTTTTTTATTGAATTTACTAAAAACTCATGAACAAGGCATAGAAGTTGCTTTGTTTTTTATGCTTGGTTTTATTGTTTACGGATGGTTTTTGTTGTTTACGAATTATTTTATTGTTTCGTTTAAAATTACCATTTTGGGTGTACATTTGGCTCTAAAATTTGTACTATCACCATTGGTTCTAACTAGTCTTTCTTCTTAATTTACCTGAATATCGTACCCTATACTTTGGTCATGATAATATCTAAATGTGCAAACGTTGAACAACAAAATGGGACTATTCAACTACTTTGAGATGTAAAAACAAGTATTTGAGATTTAAGACAAAATGTAGGCGAATGTTTCCTCTTTAGTCTTTGATTAGAAAGTTTTGTTAACTCTTAATACAAGTGCGTTAACTGGCCCATGTCTTTTTACACTGATAAAAGTTAAATCAGAGAATGTTTTGATAAATACAACCTTTCTACTTTTGTAAATCAACTGAGGTGATTCATATTATATCATTTTGAGGGCAATATGGACTTTTTGAAATTGCCAACTATGAATGAGTGATTTGCCTCCTCGTTACCTTTGGTTGAAAATTGGAAGCATTATGGATATTGATCCCTCGATTATATCATGTAATGACACCATATTAATATGTAGATGTGTTTAGCATTACGTCATCAATGTTTTATTATATGTAGGTCAACATGTTGGTAAGAGGGTATTTTTGTCAAGAATTAATCTATTGGCGTCCAAAGATGATATGTTGGAAGTGATAAAAATGATGAATGTTCAGAAAAGTTTTTAATCGTTTTCTGTATGGAGTATTCATATTTGATCTTTTCATTTATGTAAGCAAAGTTTTAATCTTTTATTTTTTTTATTTTTTTATTGTGTTTATAAGCAAGATATGTATTTAGTTTGATTATACTAGTATCTTTATTTATTTCAATTTTAGGTTCCAGATGGTATAGGGATGATTCTGGGAGTTGCACAATTGACATTGTACTTGTACTATCATGATAAAGCCAAAAGAAGAATCAAGAGAGCCCTTAATGGAGTTGGTTGCATGAACAAAAGTGCAAGTAATTGAGTTTGAATTTCAATTACTATTGAAGATATCTGAATGTTTAAACTTTAAAGTAAGCGTGATTATGTGTTTAATTGTAAGCTTGAAATTTAATTTGATTTGTGGTCAATATTTGTTTGCATTTTGTTGTTGATAGTTTTGTCCTGTATATCAAATTCTTGTTCTTCAATAAATTTGATTATTTACAATCCGTTAAAAATAATACTTATCATAAAATTTTGACAAAATTACAAAGTTGGTCTGTGGTTTGCCCAAGCCGAAACAGGCCGATTCAGTACAACTATCTAAATTACGTGGTCCTTGTGGTTTCAATTATATAAGAATGGAAATGGTTGAAAATCTTTTATACAAACAAGAGATCAAGAGCGAATCATGTCCTACCTATATGGATTGGACAAAACATAATAATTTTTATCTCATTGATATTCAATCTCATTCCCAATCCAATACATGTCAAACGCATGACTTAACTTTTATGGTTGAATATCATAATGAATAGTATACATATATTTCAAGTATCATATAAAGTACTCAAGCCTCAACGTTAACTTTTATGGTTGAATAGCATAATAAATAGTATACATATATTTCACGTATCATATAAAGTACTCAAGCCACAACATTAACTTTTATGGTTGAATATCATAATGAATAGTATACATATATTTCAAGTATCATATAAAGTACTGAAGCCTCAACGATGGTAACTAACTAGAAACTAATTTCACATAACGGTTAAGAATTGTATGAATTCAAAACCGTTTTTAAACCGCAACATATATGCTATTTTAAAACTCGATGTTTTCAATAGAAACCACACATGTATTTATATACAATCTAAAACCACCATTTTTAGACGTTTTCAAGCTTGAGTAAGGGAAGATGATCGACTACATCATGACCATTCTTCTTGGCCCCAACCACCATAGCCGGAGTGCACTGGAGTAGCATCTTGCACACTTCCTTCATGGAGGGTCTTTTTGTTGGCAATCTATGGGTGCACCATAGCCCGAGTTTGAACACACCACTCATTTCATTCATGTACATGGGCTCCTTAACATCATTGTCTAAAACATCTTCTATTGGTTCACCTCCTAGAGCATGTTGCATAGCCCATTCTGCTAGCGATAAATACTCGTTGCCATCACTTGCTTCTCTTCCCGTTGTCAATTCTAACAAGATCACCCCGAAGCTGTAAACATCTATCTTCTCGTTTACTTTTGTCGTATGAGCATATTCTGTAACAAATTTAAATACATTATTAGATGTATGATTTAAGAAACACAAGGGCTACCCAAGGATCACTCATCCTAATATTATTGTCGTTCAAGTATGTTTAACTGTCGAGTTCTAGTAAGATTTAGTGCATTAGTACGAGTATGATTGCACCTATTAACAGGTCTCACAACCAACATGGGAAGATAAATATGTGAGGACAACTAATTCAAAAGGTCACTCGTCCTAGTACTACTCTTGTCCACGTATACTAAACCATGGAGTTCTGTGAGATCCGGTGTATTAGTGTTGAACTGAATGCAAGTGGTATTTGAAAAAACAATATGAATATATTATTGTTAACTGAAACTTTACCTGGAGCCATGTAGCCAAATGAGCCGGCCACGGTTGACATTGCAGCGAGCTCTCTGCCTTTCTCTAAGATCTTGGCTAACCCAAAATCCGCAATCTTTGCATTGAATTCACTGTCTAAAAGTACGTTGCTTGATTTCACATCACGGTGAACAACTGCGGGACAACAATCGTGGTGCATATAGGCCAACCCTCGAGCCGCCCCGAGTGCTATGTTCAACCTTTTAGGCCAATCAAGTACCATATGACGCACCGAACCGGTCAACCCACGGCTCGGTGGAGTCTGCTTTCGGTGTAGCCAACGGTCCAAACTCCGGTTCTCTAAGTACTCGTACACAAGAAGCTTTGAGTTGTCACTCGAAATGTGACCCATCAATTTCACGATGTTCGAGTGTCGAATCATGCTTAAAATCTCAACTTCTGCTAAAAACTCTTTCTCGAGCCTTAAATCTAAATCCTTTTTGGTTGAGATCTTCTTTACTGCCACCACATCGCCGGAACGGTTCACCGGAATCTTGTACACCTTCCCGGAACCACCTTGACCGATCATGTAGTTATCGTTCAAACGAGGCAAAATTGTGGATTCCGTGAAGGTTAATTTCTGAAAAGAAGTGAATTTCCAATTTGAATTGAAACCATATTTTCTTCTCCGGTAAAGAACAATGACATATCTGGTCATTATCACCGCCAGAAGCAACAATATTGCAGCAATACTTCCGATTATCGCCACCGACTTACTAGAAATCTTGCTAGATTGCCCGGGTTGGGATCGGGAACTGCAAGAATTAAGTCCTAATAATGGATTATTTGAACAAAGACCGGGGTTTCCTTGGAAACTTCTTTCAAAGGCACCATTATCCAGCTGAGCTGGGATGTTTCCGGCGAGATTATTGCCGGAAAGATCAAGAGAAACGAGCTGCCGCCCTAGCTGAGCCGGTATTTGACCGGAGAGATTGTTTCTTGATAAGTCGAGTACTGTGAGAACTTTTAAGAGCCCGAGACCTGCCGGAATCTGACCGGAGAGTTGGTTTTGACTGAGATTCAACGTGTTGAGTGAATCCCAGGAAACAATAGTCGCCGGAAGTTCGCCGGAGAGTTGGTTTCCGTCGAGCAATAAAGTTGCTAAATTTGGAAGTGCGGTTAAATCTTGAGGAATTCCACCTTTGAATAGATTATTACTTCCTTTGAAAACCCGCATATTTGTCCAAGAAGATACTCCGGTAGGTATCTCACCGGAAAACCTGTTGTTACTGATTTCGAGTATTGATAATTTTGGCGCCAATTCCAACGGCAACTCGCCGGAAAATGAATTATCACTCATCATCATCTTCTCCAAGCTTGAAAGGTTCCATAACCCATCTGGAATTTTTCCTGAAAATTGGTTATCATAAACTTGAAGAACCCTCAAGCTACTACATGTTTCAAGCGATTTTGGTATCTCGCCTGAAAGATTGTTACTGTAAACAACCAAGCCTATGAGTTTCCCGTTGTAGCACAGATTCTCCGGTATGTTTCCGGTGAACTGGTTTTCATCAACCTCGAATAACTTCAGCTCAGAGTACCTTCCGAAATCCGGTGGTAGTTCACCGGAGAAATTGTTAGTGAAAATTCGAATGTCGTTCAAGCTGGGCAAGCGGCCGATGCTCGCCGGAAGTTCACCGGATAACTGATTGAACATGAGAGTCAAGTTTGTTAACTGCATTAGATTCCCGAAACCACTGGGGACTTTTCCGCTGAGCTTGTTCGCAGAAAGATCGATGATCTTCATGTTCAATGCTTGAATCGAATCCGGGATTTCACCTGTTAGATCGTTCCCGTAAAGATAAACTTCGGTTAAGTTCTTTAACAAGAACAGATCACTAGGTATCGATCCAGTCAGGTTATTGACTGATAAATCCAGCAGTTCCAGAGCCGGCATGCCGGAAAAATTTCCGGGTATCTCTCCGATCAAGTTGGTTTCAGTCATGTAAAAGAATCGAAGTTTTTTCAACTGAATAAAACTCCGGGGTAGTCTTGATGGGGTAAATTTGTTAAAAGACAAATTTAATTCTTCCAGATCTTCTAAATAACCGATTTCCTGAGGAAAAGTGCCATTGAAAGGACACTGGTGTAATTGAAGTGATTGAAGCTTTGATAATCTAGAAATATTTGCCGGAATGTCGCCGTAGAAGTTATTGCCGAAGAGGCTGAGGTATCGGAGCTCCGGCGACAACCGTGAGATATCGCCGGGTAGATTTCCTTCAAAGTAGTTTTGAGAGAGGTCAAGGTACTGGAGATTGATGCAGTTGTAGAGGGCTGTCGGAAAATTTCCGGTGATGTCATTGTAATTTAGATCAAGGTGTGTTAAGTTTTTGATGTCACAAATAAACGGTGGGACAGTTCCGTTGATGTTCTGATTGAAGAGGGTTATTCCGGTGATGGTGGTGCCAGAACATGTAATCTCCGGCCAGCTGCAAGGGTTGGAGGATTGGTCCCAGTGGTTGATCGAGGGTGGATTTGACCAGAAGCTTTTGAGGTTGAGAAGGGTGGTTTGGTCATTTTGGGTGGTGGTGGACTGTGAAATTACGTGAAAGGGCAGAAGGAATAGGAGGAGGAAAAGAGAGGGTAGGGGTAGTATTGACATATTGGTTTTGGCTCACGGCGGAGGAAGGTCAGAAGGTGGTTGGTTTATGGTGGTGGCATGTAGGATAAGGAGAGTTACTTGCAATGCAGAGGTGTGGAAGCAAAAATGTTAGGTTGACTTTCAAATTCGACGTTCAGCGTTTTGATAATTATAAAGAGTGAATTACAAGATTGGTCCTTCAACTTGTCCGTTTCGTCTAGATGCTTTTCTAGATGTCGTCGCAATCAAACAAAGTTTTTTTTCTCATTTTTTAAAGAGTAAAATATAGTTTTGGTCCTGGTTTCTCAAAGTAATACTTTTGGTTCTAATATTGGGTTTTTCTTAAGGACGGTCCCTATGGAGGGTTTTTGTAACACCCATGGTCCATATATTGTTAAAACGAACATGTTAGTTTTTTAAATATGACAAATTTTCCCTCACACCAAATCAGCAAAAAAAATATTGGGGAAATGACATATTGGCCTAACTAACTAAGTATTTCGAATTTACTCATTCAGTCCTAAAACTTTTTTTGGAGTTTTATAAGGGCATAAAATTACTCGTACATCTGTTTTTTTTGTCATTGCTACTTGATATAGCTAGTTTTATAATCCACATTATTTATTTTTATATATTTTTTGTTCAAAACAATTTAAACCACTACAATATAGTCAACCAAATAGTCGATCACAATCACCTCAAAGATTATATTTCGACTCCATTGTTGAATTCTAGAAGAGAACTTTAATCGGACATCATGTCTTGCTCATGCCCTCTTATTTAGATCGTTCTTCAGTCCAATTTAAACCCCAATTTCCAATCCATAAACTTAAAATTCCAGACCTTCTTATTTTTCTTCTTCTTCGATCAATTGCGGTCTGTTGGAGCTTCCGGCAAATCAAGGTCAACACCACAAGCCGCATGAAAGAGAGACGCATTCGACTATCGCCTAACACTGCAATTCAGTTTTACGGTGTACAAGATCGACTAGGTTATACCTCCTGGATCCATACATGAATTTTGATTTCTAGAATCGATAAAGCACATGATTTACATGTTCGATTTTAAATCTAGGGTTTAATTTTTTGCCTGATTTTTTGGTATATGGTTCCTAATTTATGGTTTGGAATCCCGATTTCTTTTTCTGGTTCGGTATAATAAGCAAGTGATTTTTTTTTGGAATCGATAAAGCACATGAATATTTTTGCAATCGATGAAGCAGATGATTTTAAGGCAGCTTGGATTGAGGTCAACCATGAATTGTTTTGGATCGAGCTACCAATACGATAGATTGGCTCATGACGGAAGCCAAAGTTGCCATTCATGCACACGGTGATGCAAATCAAGATGATAATCAGGGGTACCAAATAACAATTACAACCCCCTTTGTTAGCCCTTTAGAGACATTTCATACAACAACCTATGATCAGATTCAGCAGAACACAAATTATGAACAAACAAATAGTTTAGATCACAACCTGTCTGCGCTCATGAATCCAATCAACAGATGTCCTCAAGAAATGAACCGCTTTTGAACCTCAAAAGCCTCAACGGATTTCACATGGAGTCCAAATTACAACAATTACAACAGAGGAGAAGGTTATGATTTTGGTAATCCTGAACCCATTCAATCCATTTTTGCTCGTCCAATTCCTGATACATCAAACAATAGGTTATATGGATGTTGTGATTTTGACTTTTAAAATGTGATTTTGACTTTTAAATGGAAAAAATACTTAAGTGACATATAAAACCGGCTATTATAGGTTAGAGGGACTAAAAAGACATGTCACTTCAGAGTTTATTCCCTCATAAAGCACCAAAATAAAGTTTAGGGACTGAATGGGTAAATTCGAAATACTATGTTGGGCCAATGTCTCATTTTCCAAAAAAGATATTACTAGGACCATTTGTAAAATCAATGGAAAACCAATTTATGGGTTCTATTATGAACCATGGAAATGAGGTTTCAATTGGAAGTTGAATTGAATCTTTGATCTTGCAAAGCTTTAAACCATTGTTTTCACTAGGGGTGGCAAATCGTGCTATCGTTTCGTGTTTCTGTCTAACACAGCACGACACGACAAGGTTTTATGTAATACGAACACGACACGACATAATGTCGTGTTTTTTTTAACTAACACGAAAACGAACGAATTAAAAAACGATAAACACGACATGAAAAATATAACATATACTAAAAACTAGTTTATTTAATGAATAATTTATCAAATATAACACGACAAACACGATAAAGAACTGCTAAATCATGTCAATTTCGTGTCGAATTTTGAACACAAACACGACACGACATCGTGTTTTTTATAGTTAACACGAACACGACACAGACACGTATACAAATTTCATATTCGTCTCAATTTTGTTTCGTGTCGTGTATTTTTGCTCTCATTTGATTGGTTTCACTCATTGGGGTTTAACTCTAAGCTTGAAGAATTATTCATGCTTAGGCAATTAGAAAGGGTGTATCCCACAATCAGTTTGGTAGCATATTCAGTGTGGCTTTCTATTCATATAGTTCTGGTAAATTTACCAGGTTCTTTACAATATGAAGTTCATATTTCCTTCCCTCGATCATGTACGCCCCGTTGTCGAGTTTTTTTAAGGAAAGAAAGGGAGGAAAGGAAATATAAGTTTCCTTTCCTTCCATTCCTTTTTCTTCCTCTCAATCATCCCAAAAATGAGAGGAAAGATTTGATAAAAAAGCCTTTTCTTTCCCTCTAAATCCTTCCATTTCCTTTTCTTTCCATCCTTAAATGAAACTCAAGAACACATTATTTTTCCTTTCCTTCCATTCCTAAAAAAAAAAAGAAAAAAAAAAACTCAAGAACACCATATTCCTCCGATTTCCTTCCATTTCCCTACTTAAAAAAACCCAAGAACACACATTTCCTCCCTTTTCTTTCCATTCCCTTAAAAAAATCAAGAAGAAGGTGGTAGTGTTTTGTATTATTGTTGTCTTCTATTAATATAACTCACCGCTGTGGTGTCTAGAATAGTACAAACTAGGTCTGAGGGCAACCCGAAATGACTTTGCTAATAGTTCAAGTATATACCAATTTAGTTATTGCATTAGACACCTAATCTAACAGTTGTTAGCTCTTATATAATAAATTTTCTGATAAATTGGTATAAACATTGTTTGTTTTAAATTATATGATAATGTAGACATCTTTGAAAATTCTATAATTTCTTTTGTTCTTAATAACCTTTACTTGCGGGTTACTCATGAATAAAATTAAATATAATATATGGTTTAATGATATTTATAGTTGTTATGATTAATTAATTTTAAAACATTTATTTGCTTAAAATTTTAATTTCTATCATTGTAATTATTTAAAACATCAAATATTGTTTTTGTTTTTAAAGGTAACAATATAAAATTTGTATATAATGTTACTTTTAACTATTGTTGTTGTAAGTTATTTAAAATAACATATTTGGATACTCTTAATTATTTTAATTTGGTTTCAGAAATTTAACTTTTTTAAAATTTATTTGGTGAATATTGTTAGTTTCTTTGATTGTAATTATTTAAAACAACAAACATTGTTTTTATTTTTAAAGATAACATTATAAACTTTTATATAATATTCCTTTTAACTATTTTTATTGTAAGTTATTTTTAAGCTGCTTATTTGAAAATTCTTAATGCTTATAAAAAGTAGTTTCATGGTTTTTTTATTAATTTAGGATTACAATTTAGGTTTAACACTATAATTTATAACTTTTAAATATTTATAAAATAGTCTCTCGATTTTTTTTCAAGGTTAACTGAAATTTTGATTTAAGTTAACCGTTTAACATTATATTGAAATTAATAATTTAACTATTTTGCATAAAATCATAAATTATACAAAAATTGTGACTTTAAAATGACAATTGCTCACATACGACAAAATATCTAAACTAATAAGTTAACTATAATATGTTAAAAAAGTTAAAGTCACAATTTTATAAATATAAGTAAAATATGATATTTTAATATTGTAGTTTAGTTAATTTATGATTAGAATTTAATTTTTGCGTTAATTTAACATTATTAACCAATATGTAATAATTATTATAAAGAAATTGAAAAGTCATGGAGGTTTCAAATGTATGTGGTGCAAGTAAAAATGCCTCTATTATAAGTATACTAGACGAATTCTCTCGCGTTGCGCGGTGCAGGTTAAAAATATATTGTTAGAATATTCAAAAATATATGTTTATAATGCTTATGTTATTGACATTAACTTTGACATAATATTTTTACACTAATATATATATATATATATATATATATATATATATATATATATATATTATTTATATAATCTCAATTATTTTGAACACTAATATTCATTGACATCAACCCACCTTCCTCATTAATAGAATTAAATATAATTATCTATGTAGTATTATTTTTAACAATTGTTATGATTGACTAATTTAAATTTTTACTTATGCAATTATTTTCTAGTTTCATTAATGATGTTCATTTAAAATACAATTTATTTGTAGCTAACGTTATGTAATTTATAATTTGATGTTATTATCATTTAAAATTATTGTTCATTAATTTTAAACCACTTATTATTAATAATAAGTTAAAGAAGACTTTTAAGAAACACTTAATATTATCATTCAAATATGAAACATATACTAAATAATAAAGTGATAAGATTGACAATTTGCATTTCAAAAGAGACTTGCATGGATAATATGACATATCCATGATTTTTATAATTTGATTTTATTATTTATAACTATTGTTCGTTAATTTTAAAACTACTTATTATTATTAATAAGCGAAAGAAAAGTTTTAAAAAGCACTTATTATTATACTTAAAATGTTAAACATATACTAAAATATAAAGTGATAAGATATACAATTTACATTTTAAAATAGACTTGCATGGATAATATAGATAATATGACATATCCATGATTTTTAATTAGTTATTTCTTTGAAGCAACACAAACATACAAACATATATACAATATTTAATTAAATATTATCTATATCACATTCCATAACATATGATCGATAACATGAATCTAATCTAATTTAAATTGAAATTTCAACCACAACATACAATGATTGTCTTAAAAGAATACTTAAACCAAGAAAAATAAAATAAAAAAAAGAATTAGTATATAACAAACTTACAAATTAAAAACTTTAACATAATAACATGACTTGAAATATAGTCAAAAGCCCTTAAACCAACACAAAAACCTTTAGACATGTTTTCTTTGTGAAGTTTGTATGTGATTGGTATTTGTATGTCTACTCAAAGAGATTGACCTTTTATAGTAGACTATCCATTAATTGTTTATTAAACATATTATATAAGTTATAAAACCTTTGAATGGTTAATCATTATTAAGAGACTTTTAAGTGATATTCATTCAAATAAGAGGTTTCAAATGAATATGGCTTAAGTAAAATTCATCATGGGAGTTTCAAATGAATGTGGTGAAAGGAAAAATGCTTCCTTTATAAGTATATAAAGATAAAGATATAGACTAGACGAATTTCCGCGCGTTGCACAGCGTAGGTTAAAAATATATTGTTAAAATGTTGAAAAATATGTGTTTAAAATGGATATGTTATTGACATAATATTTTGAACAATATTTTTCATTGACATCAACCCACCTTCGTCATTAATAAAATTAAATATAATTATCTATTTATTATTATTTTTAACAATTGTTATGATTGATTAATTTAAATTTTTACTTATGCGATTATTTTCTAATTTCAATAATGATGTTCATTTAAAATACAATTTATTTGTTGTTAACGTTATGTAATTTATAAATTGATGTTATTATCATTTAAAATTATTGTTCTTTAGTTTTTAAACCACTTATTATTATTAATAAGTTAAAGAAGACTTTTAAGAAACGCTTAATATTACTATTAAAATGTGAAACATACACTAAATAATAAACTGATAAGATAGACAATTTGCATTTTAAAAGAGACTTGCATGGATAATATGATATATCTATGATTTTTATAATTTGATTTTATTATTTATAATTATGGGTCATTAGTTTTAAAACCACTTATTATTATTAATAAGCGAAAGTAAACTTTTAAAAGACACTTATTATTATAATTAAAATGTTAAACATATACTAAAATATAAAGTGATAAGACAACCAATTTGTATTTTAAAAGAGACTTATATGATAATATTGCATATCCATGATTTTTAATAATTGTTACTTTGAAGCAACACAAACAAACAAATATATATATATATATATATATAT